CGGCCTCTCTGGGTCCTGTCATAGACACTACTCCGTCATCTGCAAGTTGTCTCAACGTGCAGTTGTCCCTTAGACAATTGTCAATTTCTCTGACGTAGAAATTATACAGAAGGGGGCTTAAACATGAGCCCTGGGGGAGACCCATGTAGCTAAATCGTGAAGCTGTAGAGTTTCCATGAGAAAAGCTCATATGTTTCTCTGACAGCAAATTGTACAAAAAGTTATTAATTAATGGAGAAAGGCCACAAGCGTGGAGTTTGTCTGAAAGGACTTCAACCGATACTGAATCAAAAGCCCCCTTAATATCCAAGAATACAGAAGCCATTTGCTTTATTAGCAAAAGCCAACTGAATTTCAGTGGAAAGCAACGCGAGACAGTCGTTCGTTCCCTTGCCCCTACGGAAACCAAATTGAGTATCTGAGAGTAGGTGGTTCAACTCAACCCATTTGTCCAGACGAAAAAGGATCATTTTCTCCATCAATTTTCGAATACACGATAACATCGCTATGGGACGATACGAATTGTGATCTGACGCGGGTTTTCCAGGCTTTTTAATGGCTATAACTCTCACCCGCCTCCAATCATCCGGAACAATATTGAGCTCCAGGAACTGACCAAACAAGTTCAACATGCGCCTCTTAGCGACGTCTGGGAGGTTCTTCAACAAGTTGAACTTGATTCTATCAGCCCCCGGAGCCGAATTGCCACACGAAAGGAGCGCGAGTGAGAGCTCCAGCATTGAAAAAGGCTGGCTGATCTCGTCTACCGAATTCGTCGTTTCGCGAGGAATCATCTGTGCCGGCACAGAATCAGGACATACTTTTCGCGCGAACTTGAGGATCCAACTATCGGAGTACTCCTCGCTCTCGTTGTTTGAAGACCGGTTACGCATCCTTCGCGCCGCATTCCAAAGCGTATTCATCGACGTTTCGCGCGATAATCCGTCCACGAATTGCCGCCAGTATCCGCGTTTCTTGGCTTTGATGAGGCTCTTGAGTTCGCGTTCAAGAGCCGAGTACGCTTCGAAATGTACGGGTGTTCCACGTTTCCGGAAAAGCTTAAACGCGTCGGACTTTTTACGATACACCTCAGTGCATTGCTGGTCCCACCAAGGGGAAGGAGGTTTCCTACGGAAAGACGTTACTGGAACCGGCCGAGTTTGAGCTTGAAGCGCGCTGTCCAAGATCAGATTGGAGAGGAAGTTATATTCCTCCAACGGTGGAAGCCCTTCTACCGACGTTAGGGCATCTTCTATCACATTCTTGAACTTTGTCCAATCGATATTACGGGTAAGATCGTACGCGACGTTAACGGGTTCCGACGGATTGAACCCACTGGCAACTGAAACTTTGATCGGCAAGTGATCACTACCGTGGGGATCTTGGATAATGAGTTAGAGCAAAGTGTGAGGTCTAATCTACTTCCATTCGAGGATGGGCCAGCCAAACGTGTTACTTCTCCATTGTTAAGAATTGTCATATTAAAGCTGTCGCAGAGGTCATATATCAAAGTAGAACGGTTGTCATCATACAGTTCCCCCCAGCCTGTACCGTGGGAATTAAAATCTCCCATAATCAACCGTGGAGCAGGAAGTACCGAACAGATATCTGAAAGTTGTTTGCGATTAACAACGGCTCTAGGAGGAATATAAACAGAAGCAATACAAAGGCTCTTACCTTTAATAATAGCCTGACATGCAACAACTTCAATACCTGGAAATTGTGGAAGATTCACTCTATAGAAGGAATGGCACTTTTTGATCCCCAAAAGTACCCCTCCTCCACGCGAATCCTCACGATCCAGTCGAATAATGTTAAAATCATAAAAAGGAAGATCGATATCTGAAGAGAGCCAAGTTTCACAAACAGCAAATGCATCACAATCATTATTGTGAATTAAAAACTTAAAAGAATCTAATTTAGGAATGAGACTTCGACAATTCCACTGTAGAACAGTGATCAAATCCCCGACCTCGTTTGGAAAATTATCCATCGAAGGAAATGATTGCTGCAATGAGGGGCCACTTCAATGTCAATTGCTTCAAGAGGGTCTTCACAGAAGGAAGCATTGCCAGAACAATGCTTTTGAGAGGATCAGAAATATTGAGGTACTTGAGAATATCGTCCACAATTTTATCAAATGAGAACAACCCGGATGAAGAAGGGGCTTCTGTTCTTAAAAATGGGCCATCAGGGGTTTTTGATGTCCCCGGGAGAGATGGAAAGTTCTGGTTATAGTCAGTTCGGCGGAAACCAGGAGGAGTTGAAACTTCCTTTTTTCCATCACTCCTTGATTTGGGCAAGCTGATTTGAGGTTCCTTATCTGCAACTTTCCGCGAACGGATGCGTTTTCGTTTCCGTGCAGAACCTTCCGGAAAACTGAAAGAAACTCCCTCCTCAGCCAAGTCAGAGTCAGACTCGTCATCAGACAAAACAGCAAAGGGATTTTTGTCGTTGGTTGATGGTGTGGCTGTTTTTAGCATTGCTGCAAAAGACTGCCTGGAACGCTCCTTAAGAGAGCGTTCTAGTTTCTCCCCGCGTTGTTTGTACGCCGGGCACGATGAGAGACCATGAGGAGTTCCCTTACAGTACACGCATTTTGGTGCAGTGACTGTGCAGGCGCCATCCTCGTGCTTCTCCCCGCATTTGGAACAGCGTGCCTTGCTGCCACAGTGAGAGGCCGTATGTCCCAACTGTTTGCAATTTTGGCAGTTCATGACCCGAGGAACAAACAAACGCACAGGTAGCCGAAGTTTTCCCAACTCGATGTAGTGAGGAAGGGCTGAACCAGAAAAGGTCACCCGAAACGAGTCTGTGGGGGTAAAGCTCTTTTTACCCTCGCTGAAAGATACTGAGTTCAGCTTCTGGACTTCCAGTATCTCAACCGTGGGAAGCAAGGGGTTCTTGAAACGGCCAACCGCTTGCTTCGCCAAGATCTCGGGAGTCAGACTCGCTTCGGTGACCACACCTTCGATCTCCACATTACGAGCTGGGATGTACACTCTATACTCGAGTGTAAAGAGCTGGGAGGCAGCAATCTCGTTAGCTTGTTTCAGGTTAGAGACGACAACGCGAAGTTTATTGTACCTCACCTTCGAGATTTCGGTCACGGCCGAGAACCGCTTCGTCAGATCATTAGTAATTTGCATTACATTCAAAGGTTTCTTTTTGGGCTGAAAGTAAACAACCCATGGGCCAGTCGAGTCTTCTGGGTAGGCTCGCGATCGGGGGCTTATCTGTCCCTGTCCATTACCAGACTGAGATGACGAACCAGGGATGGCATCATCTGATTTCTGGGATGACAGACGTTTTCGACCCTTCTTGCTATCGCGTGGCAAAGAAGTGTCATCTTCCGACAAAACGTCCATTTCGTCTTCCGACAAAATGTCCATTTTGCCGTACTAGTGGGAGCGAAAAACGCTCTACCACTGCAACGATAATCAAAATTACTCGGACACAATACACGAGAAAAAAAAAATACAAACACAGAAACACAAACTTAAAATTTAACTGATGGGAGAAAGAAAGAAACAAGAAACAAAAACTTATCTGATAATCCTATACTACTCCGAGCGTTTACACAGCAGCAGCGAAGCGACGCGCAGCTTTGATGATCTTTGATCCGCGTGTGCGGGCGGTCTTCGTTGGTGTGTGCTTGTATGAAGCTCGGCACTCAGCTGAACACACGAGATGGATGAGCGGTTTGAATGTGGAGGCAGATGCTGACACTCGATGACGATGATCCGTGTGCACAGGTATGCGTGACCACGCACCGATGGTGCGCAAAATGGTTGGCGAATTGGCAATCGCAGAAACAATTTTCCTTCCGATGATGCCGAAAACACACTTTCTTCTCAGAAAAAAACTCACTTTTTGATAAATTTATCGGGAATTATGCCAGGAATCACTAAGCGAGAAAAAACTGATTATTTACGTCAGATAATAGCGAGAAAACTTCCAAATTAACGGAGCGCGAAACAAGTCGACCGTACTTCTTGCTAGGACGCAGTGAGATGATGACAAATTTCTGTTGACCAATGTTAAAGTTCGTAGTATTTGAAAAGCCTGATTATGACACTCCTTTTTCAGTCTAAGTCACGTATACAAATTCATAAATGTGCCGCTCTGACCAACACGATGAATGCGTCAGTTTTATAATCTGTTCGACTGCATTACATAAGTCAAGGTCGCCCCAATTTACCAACCGCTTACAAGTCACAATACAGATAAGTATGACTATGACGTTATGACGATGATAAGATTCTACACACCAAGCTCTGCCCCCGTTCGCTGTTATTATGTCACATTGAGGCAGATCGTCAAACTTTCTCGGCGTCATAATACACAACAATGCAACCTAGATTGTGATAGGTTCTCGACCCCCAGTAGACGACCGTATTTCGCTTATCGCATGACTTTGATAGGACCAGCCGTTTTAGCGCTGGAATGGGCTACTTTACAGCAGCTATAAATTGCCCAGGAACAGTTTAGACACTCCAACCATCGCGTTTTGTTTTTGTCATGCAGGCATAGAGGATTTTGTATTTTGCATTTTGTATTGTATTGTTTTTAACTAGCTTCAAAGCTTCCAACCCACCGGTCCTTTTCAGGACCACAAATGACTGATAAATGAGTTAACTAAAGAGTAGGAGCTTGAATCCAAGACATGGCTTGTACAACAGAACTCTCAAATTGCTTCCGAATTTCAACCTATGGAAATTTTTCACTGATAACCAATTTTTAAATCACAATAGTATTCGCATAATCAGGCTTATCGAATGCCTGGGAACTCTTATCCATTCCCGCCTTTTCAGAAATCACATCACATTGTTATCTCTTTTATCGAGAGTCCATTCACCATACCACTACCACCACCGTCCACGGCAAATTCAAGATTAAGCGCATATATCCGTTCACTGTTCAGTCACCTAGCCATTTCGGAATCTGAAATCAAACTCTACGGTTTGTCAGTCAGATTCTGCTAAAAGGAAAAAAAAATCATGGATCCCTCCGTAAACCTCCGGCAAGAGCAACAGGTGGACCTGGTGGACGCAAACCCGACCCTTAGTGGGTCCGGTAGTAATAGTGAAGTAGATGCAGCTGGATTTAGCGAGGAGGAGGGATCCGGAATTCTAGCCATACCTACTGCTAAGCTGTACTCCATGAACGGAGCGAAACGTGGCAAGGTGTTAATATTCAATCATAAAACTTTCGATAATAGAAGTTGTCCGGTCCGAACCGGTACGGACAAAGACGTAGAAAGATTATACCATACTTTGCCTCGACTCGGATTCCAAAAGGAGGATATTGAAGTGTACAAAAACAAGAGTAGCGGCGAAATCAACGGGATTGCGAAAAACCGTGAGTAGTGAATCGTTTATATGATGATCGGATTACTGTGAGCGGTTTAATTTGCAGTGAAAAACAACGCTGATCTGGAAATATCCGATTGCTTAGTGGTGGTGATACTTACACACGGTAATGAGAATGACAAGTTGATGGCCAACGATAAAGAGTACCATTTGTACGAGTTTATTGAGAACTTCAATCCCACTTCCTTGAACTCGATGACTGGAAAACCGAAACTGTTCATAATCCAAGCCTGTCGTGGCAAAAAAGTAGATCATGGTGTTAATTTGATGGCATACAGTGCCGGAAATCAGGCCAACTCGCAGACGGAGATTCGTCCGTATCCGCAATTTCCCGATCTGTTCGTTGTGCAGAGTTCTCATCACGGTAAGCTTTGTTTGAAAGAGAGAAAAACGATTCGAATTGTGCACCTTAATACTCTAATAGTACGTTCAGACTACAGAGTTATAACATATTATAACGCTATCTTGATGGTGGTTTCTGTATTGTAATTATTTTTACAACCGTTATGCCTGTTATAACTGCTTAGTCTGGACAGCGCATTATGCCTTGTTCAGATTACAGAATTATAAAACATGCTACAAGGCTGTTGCCATAATTATCAACATGAAAACTGTCGTAGCCTTGTAACTTATTATAGCTCCATAGCGTGAAATTTCAAAACCACAAAAATGTCAGCTTCCACAAAACATACAAATATGAAATTACTGCTATGCAGCTCCAGGCCAAATAGCAAACAAAAATGATTTTTTTGACTCGTCCTTCTTTGATTTGCATGAAACTTTGCACAGTTGTTTGTTATGGGGAATCTTTCAATGTTTTGCCATTTTGACATTTTCCAATAAATTGTAGCACGAAAACATCACTAAGTGGCCGGCGCCGGTAGTGTAGTGATAGGCTGCTTTCTCACCCCAATGTGTCTGGGTTCAATCCCAGCCGAGGTCGGTGGGATTTTTCTGAGACATAAAAATCTCTGGTCACGTCTTCCTTCGGAAGGGAAGTAAAGCCATTGGTCCCGGCCCATATGTGTTGAATGGGTTGTGATATCCCAACCAGGTGTGGAAGAAGCTTCCTTCCTCCACATTCGATTGCCGTTAAAGGATGGGAATCGATATCCGTTGGTGATGGGCACTAGATTGCGGAACAGACACCGACGTTAAATAAAAGAATGAACATCACTAAATCTTCTGATCAAAATGACAGATACAATGTTGTAGATAAAAATAGTGTTCCTAGAAAAAAAAAAATACTCGGTATTTTTTGTTTAGTAATTCTGTGTAAACATTCATATAAAGTGTTGAATGGTCAAATATAACAAAATATCCATGTTCAATTTTTATAATATTTTGTTTTTGATGAAAAAAAAAGCTAAATAAAAAATGCAAACTTTTGTAATATTGTAAACTATGGGAACTTGGAAATTGTCAAAAATCGTAGAACAAGAACTTTTGTTGCAATTTTTAAATTTCTGTGTACAAGTTATTTAAAAAACCATACCAATAAAAAGTTAAAAAAAAAACTGACCAAAAATTTATGTTCTGCGATGATTGTCAATTTTCAAGGTTTACAATATTTCAAAAGTTTGCATTTTTTGCAACTGGCTCAGAGCTTTTGGCGGGAATCATCTAAGGCAGAGCAAAACAGGTTTAAACTTGGAAAAAATTTCAACAAGTTTTTCATTTGCTTGCAAAATAAAATCGATCGGCTTCGCAGTACCCAACCCATAACAAGGAGAAGGTTGAGTTTAATAGATTTGGCGTGGAACGGCTCTACTCCGTGGTTGCTGCGCTACTACAAACAAAGAGTAGTGATTTCCTTTTGTACTAAATGTTCATTATTAATTAGCAATACCCCGCCCTATTTACCAGTGCATGAACTCAAATCCATAGACGAGTGCACGGATGGATTTGAGTTCACCCACTCGACAAAAGTGACACAACAGCGGGGCCCTGTTTCCTAAAAATGAAAACATGAATAATGCACGCGTAACTTTTGAAAAGGGCATATCAACTTATGTAAACAACTTGCAAGGTCCTTTTCACGAGAACCGAAGTATGCTTACGTAAACCAAGAGCACTATCGGGAAGGGGAGAATTTCCCCTACCCGATGATGTTGTTAGTTTACGTGGGCGTATTCGGTTCGCACGAAAAAGGCTTAACAAGTTTTGTGTACAAAAGTTGATAGGCCCGTTTCAAATGTTACGCGAGTATTATTCATGTGTTCATTTTTAGTAAACAGGGTCCCGCTTTTGGGTCACTTTTTGTCGAGTGAGTGAACTCAAATCCATCCGTGCACTCGTCTATTAGGGCGTAACAGCTTTTGTAAACAATCACTTCTATCGATGATTTCTAGGAATTCAAGGCACGTCCACGCATACCAACCTAACCATCGGATAGGGGAAGTCTTTCCCTACCCGATGAGGTTGTTGGTTTGCGTGGGTGAGCCTTGAATTTCTAGAAATCATCAAGAGAAGTCATTGTTTACAAAAGCTGTTAGGCCCTAATTCCAGCTCTATCTAGAAATATTCATTATTAATTAGCACTGCACCGCGCTCTTGTCAAATTTTCATCAGTGCATGAACTCATATCCATCGCACCATTGCACCAATCGTCTATGGTATGTTTTGTTGAAGCTGATGTTTGTGCTTTTGAAAATTCACGCTAATAGCATAGAGGTAACTCTAAGACCAGAAGGTCCCGAAGAAACGAGCTCAACTTTTTGGCTCAGCTCTGGTACTATCTTCGGTCCCAAGCTAATCGATGCACCCCTCGAAACATAGGAAAATTCACGAATCCCTCATTTTATCTGTCGAACTTTCATAACGAATCAGAGCAAACATAGTATAGTACTAGAATTTCGATTAGAATGGGGTACTTTAATTGATTTTCTTGGGACCCCCCAAAGCCCTCTAGTTAAAGTATGGACGACTGTCACCACGAAAATGAAGAAAGCTGTTCCAATGGAGCAAAACGGTGCATTTTGACGGTTCGATTTTAACAACTATTGACAGACATCCATACTTCTACTGTAGGGCTTTTACCGCCCTCCCTTACTTGGTTATAACTCTGTAGTATGAACGTACTATAAGGCTTCTCCAGCATAAATCACGTTTATTTTTCAGGTCACATAGCATTTCGGAACGAAAAAGGGAGCTGGTTAATTCAGGACCTGTGCAATGCAATCTATAGTTGTGATCTGGAAACGGACTCTATTTATGACATTCTGACGGAAACGAATGATGCCGTATCACAACGACTCAGCGAAGCCAAAGGATGTCGTGATAAGAAACAGATTGCTAGCATCTACTCCACCCTGACTAAGAAGCTGTACTTCAAGCCATCAAAATAAATGCAGCGACGTTTGATAAGATGCTTGATTTCTTCTGTTGATAGAAAAGGCAAAACAAAACTTGACACGAGGGGTTTCCATCAAGCTTGTAAGGGAATCGGTAATCAAAAATTATCAAAAATTATTAAATAATGATTAGTGAATTTTGAATTAATTTTAAAGGTAATTAAACAGAAATCCGAGTAATTCCATAACTATTTGTACTTTACGATTGCCATATTCTTTAATATTCTATGTAAATTTTATGATTTTAGTTGTTTCAGGTATACTTTATTATAGAATTATGTTGATATTGAAAAAAATAAAATCTGAAAACCCTCGATGCAACCAAATCAAATCGACTTTTTTCATATTAGCGCGTCTGTCTGTCTGTCTGTCTGTCTGTCTGTCTGTCTGTCTGTCTGTCTGTCTGTCTGTCTGTCTGTCTGTCTGTCTGTCTGTCTGTCTGTCTGTCTGTCTGTCTGTCTGTCTGTCTGTCTGTCTGTCTGTCTGTCTGTCTGTCTGTCTGTCTGTCTGTCTGTCTGTCTGTCTGTCTGTCTGTCTGTCTGTCTGTCTGTCTGTCTGTCTGTCTGTCTGTCTGTCTGTCTGTCTGTCTGTCTGTCTGTCTGTCTGTCTGTCTGTCTGTCTGTCTGTCTGTCTGTCTGTCTGTCTGTCTGTCTGTCTGTCTGTCTGTCTGTCTGTCTGTCTGTCTGTCTGTCTGTCTGTCTGTCTGTCTGTCTGTCTGTCTGTCTGTCTGTCTGTCTGTCTGTCTGTCTGTCTGTCTGTCTGTCTGTCTGTCTGTCTGTCTGTCTGTCTGTCTGTCTGTCTGTCTGTCTGTCTGTCTGTCTGTCTGTCTGTCTGTCTGTCTGTCTGTCTGTCTGTCTGTCTGTCTGTCTGTCTGTCTGTCTGTCTGTCTGTCTGTCTGTCTGTCTGTCTGTCTGTCTGTCTGTCTGTCTGTCTGTCTGTCTGTCTGTCTGTCTGTCTGTCTGTCTGTCTGTCTGTCTGTCTGTCTGTCTGTCTGTCTGTCTGTCTGTCTGTCTGTCTGTCTGTCTGTCTGTCTGTCTGTCTGTCTGTCTGTCTGTCTGTCTGTCTGTCTGTCTGTCTGTCTGTCTGTCTGTCTGTCTGTCTGTCTGTCTGTCTGTCTGTCTGTCTGTCTGTCTGTCTGTCTGTCTGTCTGTCTGTCTGTCTGTCTGTCTGTCTGTCTGTCTGTCTGTCTGTCTGTCTGTCTGTCTGTCTGTCTGTCTGTCTGTCTGTCTGTCTGTCTGTCTGTCTGTCTGTCTGTCTGTCTGTCTGTCTGTCTGTCTGTCTGTCTGTCTGTCTGTCTGTCTGTCTGTCTGTCTGTCTGTCTGTCTGTCTGTCTGTCTGTCTGTCTGTCTGTCTGTCTGTCTGTCTGTCTGTCTGTCTGTCTGTCTGTCTGTCTGTCTGTCTGTCTGTCTGTCTGTCTGTCTGTCTGTCTGTCTGTCTGTCTGTCTGTCTGTCTGTCTGTCTGTCTGTCTGTCTGTCTGTCTGTCTGTCTGTCTGTCTGTCTGTCTGTCTGTCTGTCTGTCTGTCTGTCTGTCTGTCTGTCTGTCTGTCTGTCTGTCTGTCTGTCTGTCTGTCTGTCTGTCTGTCTGTCTGTCTGTCTGTCTGTCTGTCTGTCTGTCTGTCTGTCTGTCTGTCTGTCTGTCTGTCTGTCTGTCTGTCTGTCTGTCTGTCTGTCTGTCTGTCTGTCTGTCTGTCTGTCTGTCTGTCTGTCTGTCTGTCTGTCTGTCTGTCTGTCTGTCTGTCTGTCTGTCTGTCTGTCTGTCTGTCTGTCTGTCTGTCTGTCTGTCTGTCTGTCTGTCTGTCTGTCTGTCTGTCTGTCTGTCTGTCTGTCTGTCTGTCTGTCTGTCTGTCTGTCTGTCTGTCTGTCTGTCTGTCTGTCTGTCTGTCTGTCTGTCTGTCTGTCTGTCTGTCTGTCTGTCTGTCTGTCTGTCTGTCTGTCTGTCTGTCTGTCTGTCTGTCTGTCTGTCTGTCTGTCTGTCTGTCTGTCTGTCTGTCTGTCTGTCTGTCTGTCTGTCTGTCTGTCTGTCTGTCTGTCTGTCTGTCTGTCTGTCTGTCTGTCTGTCTGTCTGTCTGTCTGTCTGTCTGTCTGTCTGTCTGTCTGTCTGTCTGTCTGTCTGTCTGTCTGTCTGTCTGTCTGTCTGTCTGTCTGTCTGCCTGTCTGTCTGTCTGTCTGTCTGTCTGCCTGTCTGTCTGTCTGTCTGTCTGTCTGTCTGTCTGTCTGTCTGTCTGTCTGTCTGTCTGTCTGTCTGTCTGTCTGTCTGTCTGTCTGTCTGTCTGTCTGTCTGTCTGTCTGTCTGTCTGTCTGTCTGTCAACAAGATGGAGAGACCCAGCAGCAGCCAGCAGTCCAACACTTTAGGCTGTTTACATAACAAGCAAAAGCAACATAAGGATAAGGAGAAGGAGGCGGTAGCAGTGGGTGGTCATTTATCCAACGTGTATAGAAATGGAAGAGGAGCAGCAGGAGGAGCAAATTGAACGCTTCTGCTCACACAGAGGGAGCAACTCCATTTGGCCAGGTCCGGAGGGGGTTTGTTTGTTGCGATCGCCATTGTGTCGATCGATTGAGGCAGGTTGGTTCGCTGGTGGAGGAGTGTGCTAAAATCAAACAATGCGAATCTGACTCTCTAAGACTAACGGCGAGACACGAGACGGATGTTTGCTGTTTGGTGACATATGTCCCATGCAGTGTTGGCAAAATCATCAATCAAATGATATGTTTCCGCTCTAATACGCTCTCAATGGAGCTTATTACGGATGTCACTTCACGGTGAAAACTTGTCACTTGTCGTCACGCTGAAGTGATTCCGATTTGATTTGTACGGCAATCAATTATTATGAGTATCACTTCCTTATCACCGTGTAGTGACACCCGTAATAAGGCCCAATTTCGCGTGTGATTTCGGATCAAAATATCATGCTTGATATTTATTTTACAAGCTCCTTTGACATGTAAAGCTGAAGCTGAGATTTGACTCGACACAAAAATCAAGCTGAACGTATTAAGTCTGTGTATCGATGTCCTTTCGGATAAACTCCACTGAAGGGGACTTTCACCAAATTCTGAACAAATGTTTGAGCAATTTGTTGTCAGAGAAATATATGAGCCTTTCTCATAGAAACTCTACAACTTCACGAGTAAGTTACATGGGCCTCCCCCACGCCCCCTTCTTTATATATTTTTTTTTCTAAGGCAGCTTGCAGATGACGGCGTGATTTCCGTTATACGACCAAAAGCCCCGGACCTGCAAGGACCATTGCAAGATACCTTGGATGTTGTCCTTAACCTCGAGTAAGCCGCGAGTAATCGGCCCCCGTTCTACTAACTTTAGTCATAAAAAATATTGTTAATATATATTGAATTACGGCTCCACAAAGCTAACACAAGTGAGCCTTGATAAATAAATGAATTCATAAAAACAATAAGTAACAATGATCGATTCTTTTCGTCGACTTTCTCTTTCGTTAATAACTCGAGCACATAACCGTTTCTTGTTGTGTTTGTCGTATAAGATGCTAGATAAATGCTTCTTTTATCGATATGTGTGTTCAAGATACAATGGGAATGTATCTACACAGCAAAAAATAAATTTTAATATTACATCCAAGAGGATTCACTTCAATCATGTCGAAAATCTCATGTAATTTGTATGGCCACAAATCAAAACAAAAAATTGCTGCCAGTAGTGAGTAATTACGGTACATTTTGTCATTTGGAGATATTTTTGATTCCTTGCAAATCAAGCATTAAGCACAAGACCTTCAAGAAAACTAACAACACGAAGTCTGGAAATAGAAATGTTTCATTCAAAACGTCAAGTATTTCAAGAATATCGGGTGAGACCAATCTAATTATATTTAATCTTATTTTTGTGTAGTAGGATAATCAATTGAACCGCTCCGGGTTATTATGAAGCCCTCCCCTTGGCTTGTTTTTAACCTGGACGTTGGGGGGGCAGGCCTAATATTATGCAGGTACTTAATAAAGCATGGGTTATGGTTGATTGGGTGGATTAGAGATTTCAATTATTTATTAAATTAGGCTAATGAGATATCATAATCATCAAACGAAAATTTAGACAGCCTTATGACATTAAGTAGATTAAAAAAGGAGTTAGGATGCGGGGGGTCCGCTTAGGGCTAGCCTTTTCATATATTATCTGTTTATTTTGATGGTTTTTTTTTTTTTCCTTTGTTGGGTACATTTTTCCACTGCGACCAGTTATTTGATCTATTGTGGCGGGCCCCGGTTTAATGTATGCCACATCAGGGTGTTGTATCACTATTTGTTTGAGTGATTTCCACTAGCTGACTATAGGCATTGTCCCAGTAAGGTATTATAGAACGAATGAACTTTATTGCCTTACTGGGATAAGTCATCCATACTTCTGAGGGCTGTTTTAAACACTTATCGAAAAATGTTTTCCTTTTATGAAAAAGTGCTGCACAGTTACATAGTAAATGTTCCGAGTTTTCACTCTCTAGGTTGCAGAATCGACACTTGTCATCTTCCAATTTGCCTAGCTGTTTTAAATAATATTTACTTGAACAGTGAACCGTAACTAGGCCACTAAAAGTACATAGATCTTTTTTGGAGAGATTAAGAAGTCTTTGAGTTGCTCCTTTATTAGGTGATATAAATCTTTTGGACTGTCGAGCTATTTTAGTGTTTTTCCAAATGTTATCTATCATCGATTTTTCCCAGTTTTTTAGTTCCATTTTGAGGGTACATTCTGAGGCCCCACAAAATGGTTCTGGACCTAGGAATGGTTTTGATGATCCCAATCTTGCTAATAAATCTGCCTTTTCATTACCTTCAACCCCACAGTGCCCAGGTACCCAAAATAAGTTAACTGTACTATTTTTAGCCACCTGCTGTAGTAATTGAATGCATTCCCAAACCAGTTTAGAACAACATGTAACTGACCTCAATGCTTTTAGGGCAGCTTGACTGTCAGAGAAAATATATATATTTGTATGTTTGTAATTACGACGTAAA